TTTGGGGGGCCCCCCCCCCCCCCCCCACCCGCTGCTGGCTGGGCTGGCCTGATTCCGCCCGTCTCCCCGCTGCTGGCCGCTCCACGAGCAGGCGGAGGTGGATGAGAAGGTGCGCGTGGAGGCCGTGCTTGCTGACCAGAAGGCGCGGGGCAAGTTTGGCAAGGAGCCGCGGCCCGCCAACCGCCCCGACAGGTACCGCCGGTACCGCCGGCACCCCCGCCTGTATGCCTGCTTGGCCACGCCTGTGCCCCCTGCAATGGTGCAGCTGTGGTGCATTCCCTGCGTGTGTTGGCGTGGCTCTGGCTGGTCCCACCCCCACCCTTGCCCTTCTTCATGGACTTTGAACCTCAAGACCTGCCTGTCCAAATCCCTGCGCACCTCTCCCCCTTCGGATGCCGCACAGGGCGGCGGAGTCGCGCATGGTGAATGTGGAGAAGCTGGCCATCCGCGGCCAGAGGGTGGCTGGGCACTACCCCGGCTGGGACATTGGCAGCAGGTGTGCGTGGGGGTACTGGCAAGGCGCACAGCGTTGCAGCAGGCCGCCTGTCCAGTGGGCTAGCCAGGCTGGTGCAGCGACTGGGTTCTGGCTGGCCCGTGTGATGGGCGGCGGGCCTCGCCCCTGCTGCCCTGCCGCACACCACCACCGCCATGCCTGCCACCTGCAGAGCGTACTCGCGGTCAGAGCTGTGCTGCATGGGCTTCCACCGCGTTCCCATCGCCGGCATCGACTTTGTGGGGGCGGGCAAGGCGGGCAACGGCGCGCCGCCGGTGGGCCCCGGCTGCCGTGCCTCTGCTCCCGCCTCCCGCCACGTTGCCTCCCGGTTTGCCCCTGCTCACATGCCGCTGCCCCTCGGCCCTCTTGTCCCTGCGCCGCCCATGGCCGCAGTTTGCCACCAGCGTGATGGTCAGCGGCTGGTACCAAGATGACAGCGACAACGGCGCCGAGCTCTGGTACACCGGTGGGTGACCCTCGCTGTTTTTTTAGGCTTTTCCGGAGGGCCGTGCGTGATCCATCACAGACCTGGCCATCACCTCGTTGGCGGCGGTTTCCAAGCGCCTGCTGCCACACGCACCAGCCACCCCCTCCGTCTGCTCTCACCCACGCCTGATGCACAACAGCTCCGCGTGCCTGGCGCTGCAGGCGAGGGCGGCAATGATCTGCTGCACGGGCGCAACCAGGTGGCCGACCAGTCACTGCAGCGTGGCAACGCCGCCCTGCAGGGCAACATCATGGTGGGCGGGTGGCGGGCGGCAGGGGTGTGCCAGTGGTTGTGGTGGTGTGTCTGCCATGTTTTGGGCAGGATTGCTCTGGCACAGCGCACGGCAGCAGGGCATCAACCTTGATTGGCCCTGCCCTCCCAGGCCTGCTCATGCTTCCTTGGCTGAGGCCCCGCCTTGCCCTGCCCTGCCCTGCCCACGCCCGGCCCACTCCCCATCTGCAGCTGGGCATCCCTGTGCGTGTCACTCGCAAGCAGAAAGACCCTCACGGCCACTATGGCTGCTGCTACCTGTATGATGGGCTGGTGAGAGCAGGCCGGCAGACTGGTCAGAGCATTGCCTGTTGAGAGGAAACGGGGGCACGCCAGCCCACGCAGCTCTGGCGCCACTCTGTGCACGGCTATCTTGCAAGCCGCCGTGCACAGGGTGGCCGGCTGGCCTGTGCGCCCACACCAGCTGGCCTGTGCGCCCCGCCAGCCTGCCACTGCCCAACGTCACTGCTTGTGTACCACACCGCTGCAGTACGATGTGGTGGCCATGCGGCACGTCAAGGGCAAGGAGCAGACGTGGGTGTACCAGTTCCTGCTCAGGCGGCGCAAGGGCCAGGGCCCGCTGCTGTCAGAGGTGCGGCGCATTGCGCCCGGCAGGAGCCGCGCCTGGCGGCATGGCATGCCTGCCTTGCCCGCCGCCCCTGGTTCACCAGTTGGTGCAGTGCCAGGCGTGCCTTCCCTGCGATGCGCTGCCCTGCGCTGCCCTGCCCTGCCCTGCCCTGCCCTGCCGTGCAGCGCGTGGAGTGGGGCGGCATCGCCGCCGCGCGCGCCATCGTGCCCAAGACTCGGCAGGGAGTGGTGGACCTGGACATCTCACGTGAGTGGCCGGGTGCTGCTGCACGCTGCCGTGGTCGCCATCCGCTGCTGACTCTAATAATCCCACCCATGTGCGTTGCTGCCTCCCTCGATAGCCCTCAGGGCTGTGTCCATGCATTGCCCCACCCACCTGCACTCCTGCTCGGCTTGCCGTCGCCTGGTGCAGGCGGCAAGGAGGAGCGGCCTGTGGCTGCCATCGACGACACCTGGCTGGCGGGCGGCGCCGACCACGAGCCTCAGGGCGACATCCCGCCCTGCACGGGTGCGCCGGGCTGCACGGGGCCCGTGGAGTGCACAGCCTGCTGCCGGCCGGCGCTGGCACGCGCCATGTGCGCGCTCCCTCACTTGCGCACTCCACAGCCCCCCTGTGCTGTGGTTGTTGCCAGCGTGATGCTGGGCCTGGGGCGCCTCTCCACCTCCCACCGCTCCATCACTCCTCCCCTACGCCTGCTGCTGTGTCAGTCGAATCGTGCATTGCGTGCCTATCTTCCCCGCAGGGCTGGACGATATTGCGGATGAGCGACAGCTGGTGGGCAAGGTGGTGCGGGGCATCAACGCGGAGCGCATGTGAGCAACCCCCGGCTTGGGGTGCTGCACCGTGTTGTGCGGTGCTGCCCCACCCCCACATGTGTGCCCCCCCACACACACATATGCACTCTCCGGTGGGCTGCCTGCCATCTCTGCTATCCACCCGCTCGCCAGCCTTCTCCCCTTCTGCCCCACGATGCAGCGCGGAGCTGCGGGAGCAGGGCTACACCCCCGCGGTGCAGTACATCACGCAGTACGAGTTTGTGGGGCGGGCGGCGGCCAAGGCGGGGCAGCTGGCGCAGGCGGTGCTGCCGCTGGAGCTCAAGACCCACCCCCAACCCTACCTTGCCAAGCTCAACCACGTAAAGCCCTTGAGCCAACCGGCCCAGCCTACCGGCCCCCCCGTGCCCTCCTCGTCTCCTGCGGCCGGTTTGGCCCAACCTCATCAAGGCGGGTTTGGGAGGGTTTTAAATCCGGGGTTTTGTGTTGCCCCGTGCCGCTGCGGGGGGTGGCATACAACGACAAGGGTCAGCTGTTCAACCCGCGGCCTGTTGTGTACAAGTGCGGCCCCGGGGCTGGCTGCCCCATTGGCAAGGAGTGCAAGCTGGTGAGGTGTCGAGAGGGCTTGGCCCTGGAGGAGGCGGGCAGCCACCCTGCTGATGCACACCCGAGGGGTGCACCCCTGCTCACCACCTCCACAGATTGTGTGAACCTCCACTCCTCCCCACCCCCCACCCCCACCTCACACACCTCTCTCTATTGACCACCGGGTGCAGGCGGTGACGCAGCGGGCTTCCAAGTACCGGCTGGAAATCTTCAAGACGCGCAACGGCCGAGGCTGGGGCGTGCGCTCCCTTGTGAGCAGTATGGGCGCAGCGGCTGCGCCAGTAGCAGCAGACTGGCAGGGAGGCAGGGCCGGTTGTTTGGGCAGACGGGCCACAAGGGCCGCCTGGCTTCGCCCGTTGGCAGCGCCATGCCAGCGGCTGACGCCAGCCATGCGGGTGTGCCTGCCTGGCTCCCCCGCTGTTACCTACAGGACACCATCCCCCAGTTTGGCTTTGTCGTTGCCTACGTGGGGGAGGTGTACGATGCTGAGGAGCACGAGCATTTGGTGAGCTGGGCTGGAGGGCAGGCTGGGCGCACACCGCCGGCCCCACCACACTCGTGACATGCTGCCCCTGGGCCGCTTCTCGCGCCGCCTGCGCCGTGCCCCCTCACCCCAACCAACCTCACACACACACTGTCACATGCCACAGCCACCACCAACACATGCACACACGCCAGTCCCTCTCCTTTGTCCTGAGAGTGTGTGTCCCTCTGCAGGTGCGCACTGTGGAGGAGCAGGATGCTGAGTACACCTTTGACATGGCGCCCCGCCCAGACACAAACTGGGACGGGACGGAGAAGGTGGTGCCAGAGTGAGCGGCCGCCGCCGCCGCGCTTCGCTGCACTCGACCGCTGCACTGGGCAGCTGCTTGCCAGCCTGCCCAGCAGCGGGGTGCGATCCGCGGCAGGGCTGGGCGCTGTCCCGCTCCCTGCCAGCCCGGCTGGCTGGGGCTGGCCGGCGCACGCTCACCGTTGGCGAGCGTTGCGTTGCCCCGCCGCCACCACCGCACCAACACTGCCTACCCCACCCCACCCCACCCCCATCCTCCCTTGCAGCCAGGCCAAGGCGGAGTTTGTGGCGTGCGGGCTGCGCAAGCGCAACGTGGGCGCCTTCCTCAACCACAGCTGCGCTCCCAACTGCTTCGTGCAGCCGGTGCTGGACACCCACCACGACCGCCGCTGCCCCAAGATCTGCATCTTTGCCAGCGGTGGGGCGGGGCTGCCGGGCTGGAGGGGCGCTGGGGCTGGTGGCAAGGCCTCATGCGCTCCGCAGCACCTCGCTCTTACCAGTCGCCCTGCCACCATCCCTCCGTCTGCCCGCCCTGCCCTCCCTGCTCACCCGATTCTGCCACTCCCCAAAACAAACTCGCTGAAGGCTGCCCGCTCGCCCTGCGCAGAGAACATTGCGCCGATGACGGAGCTGACGCTGGACTATGGCGAGGCCTACGCCGCCGGCTTCCAGGGCGGCTGCAAGTGCGGCGCCGCAGACTGCATCTCGCTGCGGGGCCCGCAGGCCGCGGCTGGCCACCAGAGGCAGGCGCAGGAGGACTCGGCTGGTGAGGGGGATGGCGAAGATGGCGAGGAGGAGGAGGAGGCTGAGGAGGTGGTGGTGGAGGAGGAGGAGGAGGTTGAGGAGGTGGTGGAGGAGGAGGAGGAGGAGGTTGAGGAGGTGATGGAGAAGAAAAACAAAGAGGGAGGAGTATGATGGGAGGACGAGGAGTATGATGGTGGCGCAGACAGCGAGTGAGCAGCACGCCAGCCCGCCAACCACACCAACGACGTGTGCACACCGTTAATCAACCCTTCTGATCTGCCTGACCTTTCGGAGCACTGGCGTCAGAAACTGTTTCAGAATGTATTGTGCCTGCTGCAGCTGTAGACGCCTGAAAAGACATGTTGCGTCACGTGTCTCGTCGACTGCCTGCTGCTGCATGACCGATTTGGTGGCGGTCTACATGCTTCTTATGGTTAAACTGCATACACTAAGTCAGCCACGATTGAGACAGGTGCTGGGACTAGTTTGGTTGCGCCCGCCGCAAGGCGCCACAGGCTCCGGTAGAAAAAAAATTGGGGTGAAGGCAGACGGAGGGAGAACGAAATGGGTGTGCTAAATGGAGCGCTGAACAAAATGCAGGGCAGAGGACATGTATGTATGTGGAATGGAAGCAGAGCCAGGACACGAATTTCAGAGGGGCTGGAGCACAGAGCGCGGAGGCCGCCCGGGTGGGCGCAGAGGGCCAGTGTGCTATTCATTTCGCCGGGCTGGTAGCAGCCCACAAAAGGGTGTCATGTTCAGGAGAGTCTGTGTTCAAGAGGGGGCTGGGTAGCTGATCCCCCCAGGCAAATTATCGGTGACGAGGCGCCAGCCTTGTGTGGACCTGTTGTCGCATTTGGCTGCTACTCCTCAGAAGACGGGGGCGCCGCGGATCAGCTCGTTGGCAATGATGCCTGCCACGCCGACCATGGCAGCCCTGCAAGGCCGGGCGTATGGGGCAGCACAGGACATGTGAGGCCGAGGGGTGGGGGCCAAAATGCCGAATGCGCATACACACTTTGTCAAAGCATCTTCACACACAAACACACACACAAACAAGCCATGCATTGCCAAGGGAAGCAGCACCTCACCGGCCGTTGATGGTCTCCGCCAGGGCGGTCCAGAAGTAGGGCATCTGCTGGTCGGGGTAGGAGTCGGTGGTGGAGGGGAAGACGCGGGTGGTGGGCACCTTGCCGGCCAGGGCGGGCGCCAGCGAGGCGGCGGTCACAAAGGCCATGAGGCCCACAGCGGCGGCGGCGCCCGCGCCCGTGCCCGCCTGCTCCAGCAGCGTGCGCCCGGTGGCCAGCTCCGCAGCAGCGGCGCCCAGCACGGTCAGCATCGCCACGCGGCCGTTGATGGCCTCGGGGCCGGCGCCGCTAAACTTCAGCACCGCCTGCGGGAGTTTGCGAGGGGGGCGGCGGCATGGGTGAGCGTGCAGGCTCATTACACGGCTCCTCCCAACCAGGGCAACAAGCAGCAGGGCTCAAAGCTGGCAGCATGACGGCTGCCTTGCTGCCCAGGCTGTGTCAGCACCCGCCCACCTGCAGCTGCGGGAAGGAGGGCGGGCCGCCAGCGATGGGGGTGGCCGACTCTAGGATGATGGAGATGCGGCTGTCCTTGCCAACCTCCGCGGCATACTCCTTGAGCGCAGACTTGCACACCACCTGCAGCCGGGGAGGCGGCGGCGGGTGTGGGCAGCGGGCGGTGGCAGGGGGTGGGCGGCGGTATGTTGGCAGGGCGTTGGCGCATCGCCCACCTTCACCGAATCGCTGCCCGCGTTGTAGACAACCTCATAAATTTCGCCGTCGATGTTCCTGACCGCCCTCCCGCCACTGGAGTCGATGAGCGTGCGCTTGGTGATGTTGAGCGGCTGCAGAGTCTTCTTAGGCGCTGCAGCAGCGGTGGTGGAGGCCGCCGCCCGGACAGACACCCTGGCCCGCGCAATCGTCTGCATGCTTCTGAGTGGAGTAGCTGCGGAGACTACAAAACCCTCCGATAGGAGCAGGGGAGGATGCTGCAGAGAATAGAGGAAGATTCAAAAGCGCGTGTTTTGTGGTTCACCCGCGGCAGGGGGGATGACGCAGCGGGCGTTTCGGGGTGAGGCTCCTATCCTCCGACGGCGCCGCTGCCGCCCTCGGCAGAACACAACTGTTGCTGCTGCAGTGTTCTGTAGCCTCAGAGCTTGCTTTTTTAAGTCCTGTTGATTGAGTTGCAGGCACATCAGCACTCTGTGGGAAGCACGCCAGCGCAGGAGTCGGTGGAGCCTGCCGCGGTGCAGCGCCCTCGGCTGGCAGCAGCACCACGACCACGGCTGGTGGCGCCAGAACCACGCTCAATGTTCAGCAGCCTTTCAATCTTTACATTGATTCAATCCCATCAGCAGTTAGGACAGAGGGTGAAGTGTCATGCGCTGGGAGCGGCATGCTTGCGGCCGGGCATGACACTGGCCAGGCGGGCCAGGCGGCCGGGCTTCTCAGCTGCAGGGGCTGCCTTGTCAGCTTCGGGGGCCTCCTCCTCCTGCTTGAGCGGCGCCACAAACGCGGCAAACGTGGCGATCACGGCCTTGGCGTCGGGCTGCGTCTCGGCGGCGGAAGGACGCGCCAGCGCCGCCTGCAGCCAGCTCTCCAGCCTGTCGGCAGCGGCGGCGGGGGGGCAATACGGCACTTGGATTAGATGCTTGGTTCGGCGCTGCTTGCTGCGCTGGTCTGGCAGGCAGGGAGGCGGGCAGGCAGCCAGCGCAGGCAGGCCAGAGCGATGCCAGCCAGCAGGCAGCCACCCCCACCTGTCGAGCTTGGCGTCGCGGATGAGCTGCCAGACGTCGATGCCACGGTGTGCGGGCAGCACCAGCACGGCGCGCTGCAGCAGGGTGGTGGCCACGACCTCGGCCAGGGTGTAGTGGCCGCCCGCAAAGTAGTCGCCGCCCTGGCTGCTGCCGTGGGCAAGCAGCAGGCCGTCCAGAGCCTGTGGCAGGAGGGGGAGGGGCGCAGGGCAGCGATTAGTGGCGGCCAGCAGGCAGCGCACCTCTCTGCTGGCTGGCCGAGCCTGCACCCCTTCTCCTCCCTGTTCCTGCCCCTCCCTGCTGGGCCGCCCTGCTGCTATCCTGTCCTCAGCAAGCACTCACGCCCACAAGCCTGCCGGCATCCAAACAACCTCACCCACCTCTAGCACGGTCTGCAGCTTCTGGCGCGCCGCCTCCACAGCAGCAGGGGTGTCGGCGCCCAACAGTGCAAAGAAGGCAGCAGGGAACTGGCGATGGAAGGCATCCAGAAACAGGCGCACGCCCGCGGCCGCCGCAGGGTCGGCAGGCAGCAGCGGCGGCTCGGGGTACTGCAGTAGTGTATGGGGGGGAAGGAGGCAAAGGGCGGGTGTGGTGGCGTTAGTAGCGTGGTAGGCGCCACCAGCCTGGCCAGGGCCACAGATCCACCGGCCACCGACCCCCCCTACCCACCCACCTTGTGCTCCAGGTACTCCACGATGACACTGCTCTCCACCAGGCCGATGTCGCCGTCCCTCAGGATGGGCACCTGCAGGCACACGAGGGGGCACTGGGGCATTAGGTAAGGTGAGGGCGGTGTGCTGGGGCGATAGCGAGGCTGTGGCAGAGGCACTGCCCACCACCGCCCATCACACAGCTGCAGAAGCACACTGCCCCTGGGGCCCCTGCCATCCACACCCGGGCGCTGCTTCCCACCTTGGCCGATGCTGCCGGGTCTGGCAGGATGGCACGGTACATCGCCAGGAACTCATCATCTTTGTTGGCCAGATCGACCTGGCGCACGCTGTAATCCAGGCCCTTCTCCTTGAGGGCGATCTGGACCCGCTGGGCGACTGCGGCAGGCAGGCAAAGGGGGTCAGGCGGTGACGTGCATCGCCATGCGGCGAGGATCAGTCGTCGCCGTTTGGCGGGCAGGCGGCTACTCACAGGGGGAGCCAAAGGTGGCGTCGAAGAGCACGCGAGAGGCGGTCATGGCTGCTGGAGGGGGTGGTGGGGCAGAGGGGCGAGGGAAGGAGGCGCAGGGAGCCGGGAGGAGCCGGGAGAGAAGAGGAGTGGGCAGGCAGGCAGGCGCCTGCCTTTTGTACCCAGCACCGTCGGGGCTCACATTGCGATGACATAGCGAATCAGGCACACGCCCCGGCTCACCTACTCGCCCCACGCCAGCGCTCTCGTTGTCCGGCTCACCTAAGGCACGGCGCAGCCAGGACCTCGATCCCATGCCCTTTGCCGCCGGAGAGGCGGCATGGGAGCGGCAACAGAGCAGCAGGGGTGGCGGCAGCAAGAGGGGAGCGCCGCCCTGGCGAAGTGGCGGCGACCGGCCGGCGGCCGCGGGATGCTGGTACTGGGCACGAAGGATATGGCTGTTACAATTCGTACATGGCAAAGGCAAAACGTCATTCAATCTTGCAGCAGACTCAGGCCCTTGTTGTGCTCCAGGCCGGCAAGCAGGCGCGACAGCGTCCAGCCCACGTTGGTGCCGTTCAGCCGGCCCAGCTGGGCGTCTGGGCAGCGCCGCCCCAGGTGCCACATGACATGAGCCACGTCTGGGTCGATGTCGTGGCGCCACCCCCGCCGCACCTCCTCCACAAGCCGCAGCCCGGGCAGGGCGGCCAGGGCCTGCAGCAGGTGCTCGCCTGCCTCACTGGGCCCCACGTATCCCGTAGGCTCCTCTGGGGAATCCACGTTGAGCACCAGGCGGGTGAGGCGTGTGGCGCCACGCAGCGCAGCGGGGCTGCCCAGGGCGGCGTGCCAGTCCACAACCAGCTCGCGCAAGTCGCCCCAGCAAGGTGCGCCTGCCGGCAGCTCCAGCAGGCCGTTTTCCTCCAGGTGCAGCCCGCGCAGGCCGGGCAGCGCCGCCACCGCGGGTGGCAGGCTCTGCAGCGCGTTGCGGCTGATGGAGAGGAACTGGAGGCGGCGCAGCGGGCCCAGCGCCTGCCAGCTGGCCAGCTGCTCGCCGCTGGCGCCCTCATCCAACACGCCGTGCAGGTAGCAGACACGCAGGTTGGTGAGAGCCGACAGCGCAGCTGGCACGTGGCCCAGCCTGCACTCGCTGCGAGGCGGGAGGAGCAGGCGGCATTCGGCGGGAGCATGCTCGGCGGCAGCAGGCAGCAAGCAGCCTGTCGAGGCTTCGGCCATGCATCCCGCCCAGTACCTGAGGTTCAGCTCCTCCAGCCGCTCTGACAGCTGGATGAGGACGTCCAAGCTGTTGGGGCTCCAAGCATTGTGGTCGACGACAAGGCTGCAGCGAGCAAGGCCACATGAATTGGAATTTGACACGCAAAGCTGCCGATGGGGGGGAATGTGGATGGGCAGGCAGCGTGCCGCCACCAGGCGAGCCGCATCCCCATGCCTGCTTGCCTGCGCAGCGCCGGTAGCTGCAGCACGCCACGTGGCAGCTGCGCGAAGCCTGTCCCGGCAAAGCAGACGCCAGTGGTGGTGGGCGGCAGAAAAGGGGCGTCTACCGAGCCCGACAGGCTGCCGTTGCTGATGCTGAAGTCGGAGAGCGGCGGCAGCGAGGCGTCTGTCCCCTGGGACACGTGGACGGCGGTGCAGGAGAAGGACAGCGTGCGCAGGCGGGGCAGGGCTGCCGCCACATTTCCTTTGCCCAGGAACAGTCCCAAGCTCCCTATATACTCGATGCGCAGCACCTCCAGTGGTAGCGGTGAGCTGCTGTCCAACGGTTGCGGCGACATGAAGAAGGCCAGCGGGAATGTGACGCCTCGGATTGAAGTGCGCACCGTAAAATCAAGCTCGCGAACTGCCATCTGCCGTGGACGCAGCCAGCTGCGGGGCCAACCAGGACACGAAGGTCAGTTGCATTCCTGGGCGGGCTGGTGGAAGGGCAGCGGAAGGACTTTCATGCATGCACCCCTTGGCGGCCTGCTCGCCTGCGGAAGGATGCCATGGCGAAAGAAAACGAGTTGATTGTTTTCATATCACGAGCTGGTGTACCCTCGCCCTGGAAGCGGATGTGCGCGTCCACCACTCTCCACAGCTCGCTGGGCCCCGCGCACAGCTGGCTCAGGCGGCGGCAGACCAGGGATAGCTCCAAGCGCATCCAAAAAGGCAGGTAACCGGCGACTCGCAGCAGCACATCCTCAGGAAGTTCGATTAGCTTGGGTTGGGGCTGTCCGGGCGCCATGGCGGGACGCTGGAGCAAGCTACTGCATCGCTGTGGTTGGGAGAGTTTGCGACCACAGGGGCGGGCGGTGCTGCCCCACAAATGCAATCTGCAGCCCCGCCGGCCGCTGCACACCTCGGATGTCGACGGGGCGTCTGTATGAACCAGGAAACGGGCAGAATGGGCAAGAACAAGGCCGCAGGCCCCATGCAGCCTGCCGTGAACTGCCACCCAGCGGGCGGGATGGTCAGGAAGTATTTGCGGGTTTAAATGGGACCCAGCAGAACTCCCATGTGAGGCTCAAGGGCGCCTTTTGTACAATTTGGTCGCTGACGTGGGCGTCGGCTTTGCTTGCAGGCCGGAAGCCCTGCACGCTGACCCGACCATGCTGCTGTGGCAGCGGCTGCAGCAGTCCCTCGCCCAGCAGCCCGGCCATTGTGTCGTGGAGGCATCCGGCAGCGGAGCGGCTTGGAACGGCCCCCAGCTGCTGGCTTTGGTGCGCAGAGACGCCAATTGGGTGGCAGGAACGCCAATGCAATGTGCGATCGATCGGTATGAAGATCCAAAGCCCTGCGCCCCCGCCGCCATCGGCCGCTTGCGCGCAGGCGGGTTCCGTCGCTGACCTGCTGCAGGAGCCTGCGCTGTTGTCGTCAATCGACGAAGCCTCCTCTGTCTTGGCCATCTTCCTTAGCAACTCAGCGGCATATGTGGTGGCCGTGCTGGCAGCCCTGCAGCTCGGGTGAGCCGTGGCCTTGCACAGATGCCTGGATTGGGGTGCCAGCCTCCAACTCCTGAATACGACGTAAATCTCTGAATACGACGTAAAGCCTCACATCCCGTTGAACGCCCTCTGCAGGCTGACCTTCTTGCCGCTGGACCCCAGCTGGCCACCACAGCGCCTGCAGCAAGTGTGCCATGAAGCGCAGCCCGCATCTGTTGTGTGGTCCGCCGCTGCCGCCAGCTGTGGCGGCCACGGTCGCCCTGCAGTGACAGGCTTCCCGCTGGTGGAGCTGCCGCCCCTGGCAGGCCTGCTGCGGGAGGCGGCCAGGCGTGAGCACCAGGGTCCCGATGCAGCGCAAGAAACTGCGCCAACACAGCAGCAGCAGGAGCAACACCCCATCAGGCAGCAGCAGGAGCCGTGGTGGGATGGCGAGCAGAGGTGCTGCTACCTGCTGTTCACCTCGGGCTCCACGGGCGGCCCCCTGGGCGTGCGCGGCACGGAAGCGGGCGTCCTCAACCGCTGCAGCTGGATGCAAAAGACCTGCCCCTTCCAGGTAGGCTTGGGCAGGGTGGGGAGGGAGGGAGAAGGACGGCTGGGAGATGGAAGTGGTCGCTACATGGGGAGATGAGGGTGGAGGGCCTTGGCCTGCCCACAGCGTGCATTGTCCCCATGCTGCCATGCATCCCCATGCTGCCATGCATGCCACCCATGCGCCCGGGGTGCAGGCGGGCGACCGAGTGGCCTTCAAGACCAAGCCTACCTTTGTGGACAGCGTGTGGGAGGTGCTAGGGCCACTGCTGGCGGGCGCCACGCTGGCGGCTGTCCCACAGGCGGTGATGCGGGACCCCGGCCAGGCAAGCACTGGCCGCCGGCTGCTGCGGGATTCGGTGCCCTGTTCGAAATGGCAGGCGGCCTGTTGGAAGGAACCCGTCTCGTGCACTGACCCGCCTCGCCTGCCTGTCCTGCCTGTTTGCAGCTGCTCCAGACCTTGGCTGAGCAGCGCATCACGCACCTGGCAGCGGTGCCCACGCTGTGGCGGGCGCTGGCGTCCTGCATGCGCCAGCAGCCCAGCGCCGCGGCTGCCCTGAAGCTGCGACTGGCTGTCAGCAGCGGCGAGTCCCTGCCGCCGCCTCTGCTGGCGGAGCTGCAGCACATAATGCCGCCTGGCTGCTGCATCTGGAACCTGTATGGCAGCACCGAGGTGGCGGCAGACTGCACTGCCTTTAATTGCACCAGGTGGCAGCCGCCCGCAATGAGTGAAGACCCGCAGAAGCAGCAGAAGCAGCCTGAACAGTCTGTGCCAGTTGGCCAGCCCATCAGCGGCACCTTGGTCGCAGTGCTGGCACCTGCGGAGGGCGGGGAGTCCAGTCTGGGCAGCAGCGGGCGGCAGCTGGTCCAGCCGGCGGGCAGCATAGGGCAGGTGGCTGTGGCAGGCGCAGCGCTGGCAGCAGGCTACCTCTGCAGCCACCCAGCAGCCGCAGCAGCTGCCCAGCAGCGCTTTGTAGGTCTCCCGACCAACCTGCTGGAGCAGGCGTGGCGGGCAGGAGCGGCGGTTGCGGCGGCTGCCGACCTGCCTGCGGCCTTCTGGCAGGAGGAAAGCACGCGGCTGTTCCTCACAGGGGACTTGGGCTGGCTGGACTCTGCCGGCTGCCTGCACCTGGCGGGCAGGAAGGACCTGCAAGTCAAAATTGGAGGTGGGTGTGGGCTGCTTGAGCCAAACCTGCCTCAGCACGTAGAGAACTGGCCAAGAATGCAACCTCCTGTCTGGCGCTCACATGCTGCCTGCGTGCAGGCGTGCGAGTAGACCTGGCGGAGGTGGAGCTGGCGCTGAGTCAGCACCCGGTAGTGGCCGCCGCCGCCGCCAAGCTGTGGCAGCTGCCCGCCGGCCCGGTGCTTGCAGCTTATGCCGAACTGAGGTCCAGCCCCGTGGGCGACAGCAGCACCAGCGGGGCTGCTGCCACTAGCACAGAGCAGACTTCCGCCGACGACACCAGCGCGCTGCAGCAGTGGTGCCGGCAGCGGCTGCCACCAGCGGCAGTACCGCAGCACGTGCTGGTGCTGCCGCGGCTGCCGCGGTCGGCAGCGGGCAAGGTGCAGCGCTCAGAGCTGCCGGCCTCGCAGCTTGTTCCACCCACCGCCGAGGAGCAGAGAGGAGCGGGGGATGCGCGGCCAGCCAAGCGGCAGCGTGTGAATGTCGGCGCAGTCAGCGAGCTCGCGGTCAGCCGGGCGTTTGCGGCGGCGCTGGGGCATACCGATTTCGAGGCCACCTCCAACCTGTTTGCCATCGGCGGCAACTCCTTGATGGCGGCGCACATTGCGGGGCAGGTGGCGGGCGGCGACGTCGAGGCTGTGTTCCGGCACCCCACCGTGCGCTCGCTGGCAGCTTTCCTTAACTCTGCCGCCAGCCTGGCAGAGACAGCGGCAGCAGGAGCAGCGGCAGGAGATGGAGCAGCAGCAGCAACAGCGGATAGACTGAGAGGAGGCGGCGGACAGGTGCAAGCTGCACATGAGCAGCAGCAGCAGCAGCAGCTGGCGGCACGGGGGCTAGACGTCAGCGGCGGTGATGCCAGCCCACAGCGGCAGCGGCAGCAGCAGCAGCAGGTTGCGGCGTCAGGCGTGCTGCGGCTGGCGTGGCGGGCCAAGATGCTGCAGTGCGTGGACGCCGCTCCCCTCATTGAGCCTGCTGCGCCAGAAGCGATAGGTGCGCCGCCGGGTCCAGCGGCGGCGATCCGGCAGCAGCAGCGCCAGGGCGGGCGCGTGCTTGCCTGCTCCCATGGTGGCGACGTGTGCTGCTACGCTGCCGCCAGTGGGCAGCGGCTGTGGCAGACGGTGCTGCCCGACAGAACAGATGCCGGCCTGGCTCTCTGCTACACACCAGCAGCGGACCAGCAGCAGCCCGATGAGGGGGTGGCTGAAGGGCGGCTGTGCGTGGCTGCAGCCACCAATGATGGAACCCTCTTCTTTCTGGAAGGCAGCAGTGGCAGCATCGCTGGCAGCATCCATGCCGGCGGCGGCATGCGCGCGCCCCCCGCCTGCGACCCTTGGTGTGGCTGTGTGTGGCAGCCCACCCATGGCAGGCAACTGCTGGTGGCTGCGGCGCCTGGGCACGAGGTGGCGCGGCTTGCGCTGCCGGCGGCCGCGTCGGCGGCAGTGAGCTTCGATGCTGAGCAGAAGCTTGCTCTGGTTTGCTGCCTAGATGGCAGCCTGCTGGCCATTGCAGTGACGCCGGGCAGCCAAGCAGACAGCACCAGCCTGCAGCTTGGAGTGGCGTGGGAGTGGCGAGGCCCCGCGCCGCTCTTTGCGCCGGCAGCTGTGCTGCCCGGCGGCGGTGGCCTGCTGGCAGCAGCTGTGGATGGCAGCATCACAGCGCTGCGCAGCAGCGACGGGGCCCAGCTGTGGCGCACCAACATCGGCGGTGCTGTCTTTGCGCCGCTGCTTCTGCTGCGGGCAGCAGAGCCCTCGGGGGGCGGGCAGGTGCTGCTGGTGGGTACCCAGGCAGGCCAGCTAGCAGCTCTGGAGGCCAGCAGCGGGCGGAAGCTGGCGGCTGTTGAGCTAGGAGCCAAGGTCACCGGCGTGGAGCAGCTCACCAGAGGCCAGGAGCAGCGGCAGCAGTTGGTGGTCTGTCTGGCATCCGGCATTGTGGCACTGCTAGATCTTGCCAGCCTGCTGGCTCAGAATGGCGGGAAGAGCAGCAACAGCGAGCAGCCAGCCCACGGCAGCCGGCCGTCCTGCGTGCTGGATGCAGTGCAGCTGCCAGGCGACGTCTTTGCGGCGCCGGCAGCAAGTGTCGCCTCCGCTGGCGGCGGCGGGTGCGTCGCTGTAGGGTGCCGGGACGACCACCTGTACCTGCTGCATGCTGGATAGCTGTATCACTGTAAGAATCGTTAGGATGCGCATCTGGGTGGGGCTCAAGCGCATCATGTGAACGAGGTGGCGGCCGATAGCGGCGGCGCCCGGCTGGCGGGCGACAGGCTGGCATCATCCCTAAAACTGGCCCGCCTCTGAACGCGCCCGGCCATATCCCCGCAGTCGCACACCATAGCAGTTGCTCTGCTCGCTTCCAGACGCACCAGCGAGAGCCATGCAGGCCGCCAGTGCCGCAAGGCCCTTCCAGTCGGCCGCTAGTGCCTCACGGGGCAGTGGAGGCAGCAAGTAAGCCATCGCGGCATGATGCAGCGGCCTCCTGGGCCACGCGCGCCATCTCCCTCCTGTCGCCGCCCGCCGCCGCCGCCTCCTGAAATCACCCACTGGCTGCTCGCCCCACGTGCGCAGGCGCCGCTCCCGGGCCTCTTGCTCTGCCCAGGCCCAGCGGCAACAGCAGCCCACGCCGTCCCAGCAGCAGCAGGCGTGCGGCGCGCCGTCGCGGCGCCAGCTGCTGGCGGGCGCGGCGGCGGCGGCGGCGGGCGCCGCGCTGCCGCCCGTGCGCCCCGCCGCGGCGGCAGAGAACGTGATTGACGGCCAGGGGCAGACGTTCCTGGAGCCCTTCAGCGCCGTGGAGAACTTCACTGCGGCTCAGAAGCAGATTTTGGAGTACAACCTGCGCACCCAGCGGCAGAACAACAGGCCGCCAGACTTCCCCGCCTTTGTGCGCGAGGGCTACGACATGACGGGTGGGCTCCCCGGCCTGTAGCTGCAGCTGGAAGGGGGGGATGCAGCCAGATGGGGCTGGCACCAGCTGGTTGTGAGCTGCGGAGGGGGTGGAGAGGCCGGCCTGCTGCTGCGAGACTTGCCTGCACCCTATCGCTCCCCTGCCTACCTGACCTGGCTGTGAACTCCCCTCCCTCCCTTCCTCACTCCCCCACCTGCCATGCACCACGCAGTGCTGGGCGACGGCTACCAGCGGAGCCCCGACGGGCTCATCTTCAAGGACTTTGTGGAGGGCAGCGGGGAGCTGCCCGTGGACGGCCAGGTGGGCCGGCGGCGGCGGCGGCGGCTGGTGGGGATTGCTGCACCTGGCCGTGCGCACATGGCGGCGGTGGTGGTGGTGTCTGCATGCATGGGCCGCGGTGTGAGTAAAGGAGGGTTCATCAGCGAGCGAGTGAAGGAGGGTTCATAAGGTGCCCTCCCAGCTCCTTTAGCCCAGCCTGATCTCGCTGCCCTCGAGCACCCTGCCCTTCCCCCTCCCCACCCCCGCCCTGCCCCTGCCCCAGCAAGTCATCTTCGACTACACCGCGTACAACGAGGCGGCGGCCACCATCGACTCCTCCTATCGCAAGGGCCAGCCCGCGCAGACGCAGCTAGGCATCCAGGGCCTCATACCGGGTGGGGATCCAGGGGCCGGGGGCGGCGCTGCTCCTGGCCAGGCTCGTCTGCTGCACGCGTCCGCCAGGCCTGGACGGTGGCAGCGTGCAGCTGGTTGGATGCTTCGAGGCAGGCAGGCTGGGAGCGCAGGGTCTGCCAAACCTGCCGCCGCTGCTCACAGTCGCTACCGCCCGTCGGCCTCCCCTCCTGGCCTGCCCCCAGGCTTTGAGCTGGGCATCAAGAGCATGAAGCCGGGGGGCAAGCGGCGCATCGTGGTGCCCCCGGAGCTGGGCCCGCCCGTGGGCCCCTCCACCTTCTTCTCCGCCAAGCAGTACGAGGTGTTTGATGTGGAGCTGCGGGCCGTCAAGTCGTGCAGGCGCGCGCCAGCCGAGCGGTGCACTCTGGCGGTGACTCCATGCACACGTGCCTGCGGCGGGCGCGCCGGCGCGCTGCAGGCCGACCCCTGCTGCCCTCGTGTGCGCGCCTCCATGCTGCAGGCGGCAGACGGTCGGCATGTTTTCCAAGGTGGTGTGCGAGTGAGGGGGCGGGCTGGGGCGAGACGCGAGCGTGCGGTGGCAAGGCCGGCAGTGTGCAGCCATCGCCCTCTGTTCTTCTTTTGTCCAGTGTAATTACGCCTGATCTGGAGTTCATGGGGAGGTCAGGAGCGAGGGCCAGCACACGCTGTACATGTCGGCACACGCCGTGTGACGGCGGCGGGGACCAGCAGGCGGTGGAGCACTGGGGTCTGTTGCCGCTGGTGTGTGTGCCCCGAAAGGCATTTATCAACTGAATGGAGGCTCCTGCAATTCAGTTCTTCTTTTGACCCTGAGACAGAAATCCCCACAGGAAGTTCCCAGTCCCCAGAAGCCCCTGCACCCCTGCTCCTCCCCTATTACTGCCCATCTCTCCACCCCTCGCCTCTACCAGAGCTACACAGCAATCTACAGGTGAGAGGGCGGCTCGATCGAGGCTATTTGGTGGGGCAGAGGTGTCACCTCTGGCATGACGCACCACCCCGTCTTGAAGCCTGAATGGCGCCTGTATTCGGCTACACGGGTGCAGGAGCGCGGGTGTTCCCGTCGGTGGGCGACCCGAATTTCCCGTGGTAGCAATCCCCAGGTATCGAGAAGAGAGGGAAAGGAAATGGAGCCCGTTCCTGTCACCGTGATTACCGGCTTCCTGGTGAGGCTGGATAGGGAGCTTAAAACCGTGCTTTGGCCTCCAGCGCCGCCATCCAGCACACGCCATGGGCAGTGATGGGGTGGGCGGTGATGGCGCCTCAGCGCGGCATCGCAACTTTGCTTTGCCGTGCTGTCCAGGGCTCTGGCAAGACCACCCTTATAAACCACATCTTGACCGGTGAGCGGGACAAAGTTACAGGCAACCTGAGCTTGCCACCACGGCGCCGCCACTGCGTGTGCCACCTGGCGCTGCCTGCTGCCCCGCCACCAACCCCCCCCGTGCTGTTTTGTGCGCAGGCCAGCACGGCAAGAAGATTGCGATCATCGAGGTGGATCCCTGCCTTGCACTTGCCTTCGCCTCGCTCCCTGCTTGAATGTCACTTCCCGCTGCCTCTGGCTGACTCTGCCGTTGCTGCTGCTCTCCTACCCCCTCCCTCCCTGGTGAATGAACAATCGCAGAACGAGTTCGGGGAGGTGAAAATCAAGTATACTATGTATGCATAATGAGAAGAAGTCCATGAGAACAATGGCTGCTTGAGTGCAACGTGCTCGCCACCGCGAGACCAGAATCCCACTACCCCTTGCCTCCCCCCCCCCCCCGCCCTCTCCCGCTCTCCGCACAGGTCGGCGTGGACGACGGCCTGGTGGTCGAGACCAAGGAGGAGATCTTCGAGATGAACAACGGCTGCATCTGCTGCACGGGTGGGTGGCAGCCAGCGCCGTGCTCCAGGGCAGGCAGGCACCTGGGCTGCCCATGGCGGCACACCGCCGGTTGCCCCCTGGTGCCCCAGCTCCGTGCTCGATGCCCTTGCTGGCCCCGTGGGCGCAGTGCGCGGCGACCTCATCCGCATCCTGCACAAGCTGCTGAAGCGCAAGCACCGGTTTGACGCCATCCTCATCGAGACCACGGGGCTGGCCGACCCGGCGCCCGTGGCGCAGACTTTCTTCGTTGACGACGATCTCAAGGTGCCACCAGTGGATCCAGTGGATGGCAGCTGCTGCCGGCTGGACAGAGCTGCCGCCAAGTTCTGTGCAGCACGGGCAAGCACCGCGCAATCTTGCCTCCCCATGCCACCCTCCTGCGCCCTGCTCGCATGTCTTGCTTACCTGCCGCAGGACCTGGTGCGCCTGGATGCCATCCTCACCGTGGTGGACGCCAAGCACATCCTGCAGCACCTGGACGACGCGCAGATTGAGGAGGGCGCCGAGAATGAGGTGCGGCGGCCGCGGGGCTGTGCGGTGTGCCGCACAACGCCTTGCATGACCAGCCGAAGCAGACGCGGCCGTGGCGGCACCAGCAGCAGCAGCAGCCTCCGTCCCGTCCACATGCTGCACCTCCCATTCCCGCCCCCACCATGCTCCGCTGCTTGCTTGCCCCGCTTGTGTGCAGGCGGTGGAGCAGTTGGCCTTTGCCGACCGCATCCTGCTCAACAAGGTGGACCTGGTGAGCCAGAAGGAGAAGGCGGCCGTGGTGAAGCGCATCAAGGTGGGATGCCTGGGAGCAGCGCTGGCGGCCTGCGTGGCGGCTGGGAGGCGGGCGGGCACCATACCCTGCACAGATTGGCTGCCCTCCGCCAGGGCTGCTGCCCATCCCGTCTCTTGAAGCCTGCCACCGCCCCTCCCGCCCGGCTGCGCAAGCGCAGGGCATCAACGCCGCCGCCGAGATCATCGAGACGGTCAACTCGCGCGCCGACTTGGACCGTGTGTTGGGCATCCGCGCCTTCTCCCTTGACCGCATCCTGGAGGAGGAGCCAGACTTCCTGGATGTGAGCTAAGCTGAGGGGCAGCGGCAGCAGATCTGCTGTAAGTAAGCTGGACGGACCAGCTTACTCTCAACGAGGTTCAAGCCCTGACTGTGCAGGAGGGCGCCGAGCACAGTCACAGCTCCGACGTGACGTCGGTGGGCATCGACGCCGACGGCAACCTGAGCTTCGCCAAGGCCCAGCGCTGGCTCAGCAAGCTGCTGCAGGTGGGCCGACACGCGCCTCGGTGCATGCCGCCCCCCGGTTGCATCGTGTACCCGCTCAGCTGACCCCGGCTGCCGCCGGCTGTGCCCCACACACGCCTCGCAGGACAAGGGCGCCGACATCTTCCGCTCCAAGGGCATCCTGTGCTTTGAGGGCTCCGACGACAAGTGCGCTCAGCCCGCCCGGGGCCGGCATATGGTCCAAAGAATGAAGAAGCATTGGCAGTGCACCGTGGCAGCTGCCTGCGCTGACAGCTGAGCGCTGAAGCTGGCCTACATGCGTGCGCCGCCTGCCCTCCTGTGCAGGCACGTCTTCCAGGGCGTGCACATGCTGCTGGCCTTCTCCTCCAGCGCCGATGGCGCCGGCCGCCCCTGGTGAGCCCACCCCAGGACCTGTGCTCGATGCGCGGCAGCCTGTTGCCGCGGCACGCCGTGCCAAGCACATCATGCCGCCAGCCACAGGCGCTTGCGTGCATGTACATGCTGAGCTGGATGCTGAGCGGCGTGCTGCTGCTGCCCGCCCCATTGCAGGGGCCCCGATGAGAAGCGGGTGAACCGCCTGGTCTTCATTGGGCGCAACCTGGACCGGGACGAGATCAACGCCAGCTTCCGCAGCTGCCTGGTGGGCTCCGCGCCCGCCGCCTGAGACGACCAGCGGAAAGCAGATGAGAAGTTGCTCCGTGGGGATTGGGTTTTCACAGCACGCTGATTGTTTAGAACCAAGATCCTAGCGCCGTTCCGCTGTCAATTGCTGCTGAACAAGCTGTCAACTTCAGGTGAAAGGCAGCGCAGGGCAATGGACCCGATTTGCAGCTGCATAACAAACGCTATAGCCTAGCATGCGTTGGTTGGGTCGGCATTCATACAACACAGTGATAGAAAGGGGGCGAAACAAGGGTTGGGGGGGGGGAGAGAAGAGGAGCGTGGGGATGGATGTACACAGGGGGTGAAGGCCGTGCCGCTCGCTGCAGGCGCCTCGCTGGCTACGCCAGGGTCCCATGTGCCACAAGCAGCATCAGTGCAGCACGATGAGAGGCTGCTTGCAGTGGTGCGTGCTGCAGCAGGGCGAGGGGCAGGGGCAGTCAGGTTGTGCGGACACGCTGCGGCTCGGCTGCTGCCCTGCTGCTGCTGCTTCTGGCACGCACTGGCAAGCCATGTCACATCACCATTGCAACCATCAACCCGCTCCACCCCGCATGCCGCCGCTCACCAGTACTTGGTCACCGAGCCAAGGAAGAACTCTGCGATGGCGCCGCGCTGGTGCTTGGCCATGATGACGGCCGCCGCGCCCAGCGCCTCGCCGCGCTTGCAGATCGCCTCGCCGATGCTGTCATTGTCGGTGAGGAAGTGCACAATCTCGCTGCAGCGAGGCGCAGGGGAGAGAGGCGCGCAAGGTAAGGTGAGGTGGGGAGGCAGGTGCGGGAGGGGAGCACACAAAGGACTCCCAGTGGAGGGCAGGGGAGGGTGACCAGGCAGCCCTCCCAAGCGGGAGGAAGCCCAGTTCCCGGAAAGGACGCCAGCCCACACACAGACTCTGGACAGCTTAGTTGGCACGCAGCTGACACCATGCACCACCAGCCTGCAGCAGCACAGCAGCTTCCCTCCATCACAAGCCTCCAACCCCAGCCCACACTCACACTTTGTAGGCGATGTTGCGGCTGGCCAGCTTGGTCACAAACCGCCGCTTCATGAACTCCTTGGCCTCGGCAATCTGCACAGGGGCACGCAGCGCGGCGCGGCGCAGGTGTGCACAGCTCAGCGACTGGCGCAGTGGCACGTGGCTCTGCTGTTGGGCGCCGCACGATGAGATGACCAGACTTGGCCACTTGCAGCCCTTGCAGCCGCTGGAGGCACGTGGCTGGCATGCGCCGCGTCAGGCACCCGTGCCGCAAGGGGCGTCTGCCATTGGGCAGACTGCAGCCAGCACAAGCAGGCAGGCGTGCGCCCGCAGGCACGCACATGCTTGAGGTCGGTCTGGGGGTCGGGGTCCACGGTGACGATGCTATCCATGGCGCCAATGCCGCCGATGACCTGCAGGCAGCGCGCAGCGCGCCAGCGGCGCAGCAAAGCAGGTCAGCTGGCTTCCAGGCAGCCAGCGCGGAGCCAGCAGCGCTGCCACCTAAATGGGGATGCAAGCTGGCTGAGGGCCACTCAGGCGCACGAGGACAGGCAGGCAGGAAGGAGAGCTCACCTCTGGCATTGGCACGGGGATGATGTGCAGCAGGTGGATCTGCAGGCAGAGGCAGCCGCGGGGCAGGCGGGGCGGGGTCAGCAGGGAGGAGCAGCCTGTGACGCAGACAGGCAAGAGGACAGTGGGGAACCAAGCCAAGGAGGGCTGACCAACCTCGTCCCCCTCCTTCATCACATTGTTGATGCTCCACTCCAGCACCTCCTCGCTGGTCTGCAGGCATATCATTCGCCCCAGGTGGCAACAGCTGGTCAGCAGGCAATAAAACCGGCCCCCCAAGCAAGGTGAGTGAAAGGGCCCACTGGGGCAGGTTCCAGTGACGTCGGCACGACGGCGGGAGACTCGGCTGCCTCGCTGCCACCGCCGCACCACCCGGGGCACCAGCGCCGGTATGTTTCGTTGCTTCCGCTGGTCAGGGTGAGCGGCAGCAGGCCCCAGCTGGAGCGCGGACCACGCAGCCCGACACCGTTCAAGGCGATCCCCTGCCGCGCAACTCGAAACACGCACTCACGTCGCTGTTATCGACCGCCAGCAGTAGTACCCGGGGTGCCATTCGTCTCGGGAAGAGCTCTAGTAGGTACAAGCGTGGTCTGACGAGGTGTGTCGCTGCGGGCTGAGGGGTGCACAGATGATCTTGGCAACGCTTGATCAAGTTCAGTTTAGCGTTCCGACAGCCGCTGGCACACGGTTTCCCTCAATGGCCACGTGGGCGCCCCGGGTCCTCCCCACCCTCCCAGGAGCATTCATCGCATGTTGCGTCGCATCATCATCCTAGGAGCCCGTGGATAGGCGTCTGAGACCAGCCGGGACCCCCGCCATCGCTGCTCCTCTGGCGGCGCAACCCCAACCCCTTCCCACGGTGTTTGCGGCCTCAGGCGTGGGGCACCAGCGTCGCCCTCTGCCTGGGAGCAGCCCGGTGCCGGCCCACGCCCGCTGAACGTCTGGTCTAACTCACAGCGAAGAGGAGCGGCTGAGAGAAGCATGGCATTGGCTCCTGCCCACCTCTCGGCCTGGCAGGCCCGCTCTCTGGGGCTGGTGTCCACCTCGGGACGGCATGCATCGCCGCTGACACCCCTCCAGCCAGCCACCACCCGAGCCGCCACTGGCGGCGGCAGTAGCAGCGGCAGCAGGCGAGGCCTGCTGTCGCCGGGGACGGCCGTGGGGTATGGCAGCAGGGCAGCCGTGTCTGCCGCCGCCGGCCAGCCCGTAGTCAGCTCGCGGCCCTACAGCATGCCCCCCGGCAGCTTGATCGGCCGGCCGCCCTCCGCGCCCCCCACGCAGCTGCAGCAGCTGCAGCGTGCCGCCACGGCAGCGCCGGCGCCGCCGGCGCACACGCAGGTGCAGGCGGGGCAGGCGGGGCAGCACGCCCAGCAGCAGCAGCAGCAGGCCGGTAGCGACGACGACGTGGCGCCGCCGGCCGCGTCGCGCATCCACCTGCCCAGCGAGCGCGAGCTGGAGCGCCGCAAGAAGATCTCGAAGGCCAACAAGGGGCGCAGGCCGTGGAACGTGGGCAAGAAGCACTCCCCCGACACAATCGCGCGCATCAAGGCGGCCACCAGGCAGGCCATGCAGCGCCCGGAGGTGCGCCAGCGGCTGGCCGAGGCAAACGAGCGGCGCGAGCCACACACCGACGCGGCCAAGGTGCGGCGCTCGCGCACAGGGGGCCGGCCGACAAGGGATTGCGGTGCAGAGCAGGCAGCGCCAGCCTGCTCAACTGTCACGCCTCCTGCCCACATCGCCGCGAGCCCCGCCATCGCCGCCCCGCGCCGCCCGCCGCTCACGCCGCCCCTCCCCTGCCCGCCTCGCACCCGCAGGCCAAGATTCGCGTCAAGCTGCTGGAGCGGGCCGGGGTGGCACGGGAGGTGATCAACGAGCAGGCCGCCCGCATCGTGAAGGAGCGGCTGCTGGGCTCTGACGACCCTGCGCTGCGGGAGCTGGGGGAGTATCCCAAGGTGCAGGAGGTGGTGGCGGGGCTGGCCTGGCAGCACTTCAAGAAGGACTGGTCGCAGGTGAAGGCGCTCCCCCTGGCCTGGCCGGCCGCGCCGCTCCCCGCGCCCGCAGCCAGCCAGCCACGCCCTCCCCGCGCCTGCAGCCGCGCCTGCCTTGCTGCGCGGCGCCTGCGCCCCCGACCGAGTGGCTGCGCTCTCCCCTGCTGCCCGCCTTTGCCGACCGCCCTCTCCACTCCCGTGCCCCTGCCCCTGACTGGTGCCCCGCTCCCTTGCCCTCGTGTCTGCAGGTGTGCACGCGGGGCTGGGATGACCACCCCGAGTTCCAGAGCCACGTCATCGCCAAGCTGACGCGCCTGGTGCGCGTTTGGAAGGCCAAGAACCCGCCCCAGGAGGCCAAGCCGACGGCCAAACCGGTGCGCTGGCTGCCGGTGCCGCCGCGGCTGCGGGGGGTTGGCTGGGTGCGCTCCAGCAGTGCCGGCTGCTGGCGGCCGGCTCCGGGATGTTGGCCAGCTGCCGTCCTCCCTTGCTGCTCCCCGCCTCTCCCTCTGCTCCTGCCCTCCGCTCCTGCCTGACCGCCTCGCCCCCACGGCCGCCTCCCTGCCCTGCCCCTGCAGAAGAAGGTGAACAAGGTGAAGGTTGCGATGGTGCACCTGCGCAAGGTGCACGAGGCGCAGGGCAAGCTGGCGGCGGCCGAGGAGGCAATGACCAAGCTGCAGCGCGCGGTGAGCGCGCGCCGCCGCCTGCTGCCGTGGCGGTGCATGCACGGTTGGGGGACGGGGAGGCTGGGAGGCGCACCGACAAGCAGATGGCGCGCCTGCTGCAGAAAGCGACGTTGGCGAGCGACCCAGTGCGGCTGCGCCAGGCGCTGGCGGCGGAGGAGAAGGCCTCGCTGATGATCTCCAAGCTGCGCCAGCAGGTGGGCTGCTGGGCTCGCGGGGCGGGGTGACGGGGCAGCGGCGGCGACCGGAGGCTGGTGGTGGCGGCGCGTGAGCTGGCTGCAAGGCGCTTCAGCATGTGCATTGCGTCACTCCTGCCTACTTGTCTCCCTGCCCCTCTCGCGCGCTCTCTCTCTCTCTCACACACACACACACACACAAAACGTTTGCTGCTGCAGGTGGCTCACCTGGAGGAGGCGCTCCAGCCGGTGCAGCACTACTTTGAGGAGGCGGGGCAGCAGCAGGTGCCAGACCTGGACCAGCAGCTCGACTTGGAGCGCCGCCTGGAGGCGCAGCAGCAGGAGCAGCAGCAGCGGCTGCTGATGCAGCAGCAGGGCGCGGGCGACATTGCCGGGACGGCAGCAGGGGAGCAGGTGAATGGCATGGCGGCGGCGCCACACACCAACGGCATTGTGAACGGGTGGGCCGGGGCTCATGTGGCCGCTGCCGAGGCCCTGCAGCAGCAGCACGAGGCGCCTCCCGCCGTGAATGGCCACGCCGGTAGCATGCCACCGCCAGGAGCAGCCCGCACGCAGATGCCCTGGGACCACTGAGGCGTCTATGGCAGCTGCAGCCTGCTATGCCCTGAACCTCCGCCAGCCCTTACTCTATCAACCCCAGCCCTTCTCCATCCCTCCAGTCTCCGCCCCGCGGCTGTACCCTCCTTTTCTGAAGGCTCTACCCCTCTCCTGCCATGCATTCTACTTTGCTTCCACGCGCCCGCGGCTGCCAAGCTCGGCAGCCCCGCACGCACCTTCCCTTGCAGCTGGAGATTGTTACCAGCTCAATCTGCCATTATTGCTTTCATTGCGCAGACATTTGCTGTTGCTCGTGCTCTGTTCCTGAAAAGAGAGACACCGATTCAAGGGGCCAGGCAAGACGTCAACCAGCCAAGTGTGGCATGCTAGGGCTGCCCACCCGCCGCCCTGACTGCGATGGCCGCTCGCCAGGAGCTGTCAAACACCGCCAAGACACCCGAAGCCGTCTGAGGCGCGTTGATAGGCCCGCTGGGGGTGGTGGCTGCTTTGAACTGCAAGGCGCAGGGTTGGACGGCCAGGCGGCGCAAGGGGGCGGCCGGCTGCTTGGGTGATGCCTGGCGTGCTGCTTCAACAGGGGAAGGCACAACCACACAGCCACGCACCCACACCCACCTCTGGCGACCGCAGCACCACCTTGACCGCCTCGAAAAACTCGTCGTTGAGCGCATCGCTGTTCTCCTTCGCCACCTGCGGAGCGGCGCAGCAGCAGAGACGAGCGGCGGCGGGGAGGGGAGGTCAGCGGCCCGCCAGGGCTGCTCATCGGTCGGGCACATGGCAAGGGGGAAATGAGGGAGGCGGGAGGGTGGGCATGGGGACCGGGCATGCGTCGCTGTATGGCATGCAATTCGCACAAATGCGGAAAACTGTGCGCACCTGCTCAGGGTCCGTCGCGTGGGCCAGCAGGCGCAGCACGTATGTGGCGCTGCTGGGCGGGGCCATCTCCAGGACCGCATCCACCTGCTCCATCACCTCGGGGTCCTGGCGGTACCGCCCAGCAGCTGCCATGGAGCGCCGGTCTGCATCCGCCAGCCGGTTCTCGCGGTCGCGGCTGCTGCCGGGCGCGGCCGCGGGATGCTGCTGGCTGGCTGCGCGCATGTGCCGCCGCCGCTGCCAGACGGGCGCGGGCAGGGGTGTTGCCGGCGCGCCGCGCTGCCTGATACCTGCAGCGACGGCAGGAGGCGGCCGAAAAGGGAGGCTTGCTGTAGGCCACGCCTGCCCGCCCGCCCGCCGCCAGGGGCGGGCCGGCTCGACCGCCGCGCAGGGCTGCCATCAAGCCGCCCACCTGGTCGCGTGAAGTGTTGAGCGCTCCCCAACAGACGGCTGGGTGAATTCAGGAGCATCGCTGGCTGCCCGCTTTGAGCAATTGACGGGGGTGCGAGCCAGAAGCAGGCAGCACCCCCTAGGGCTGGCAGGGATCGCGTGGAATGCTTTGATTGGCCAGCCAGTTAGTGCAGCTGACCTCCTGGCCTCCGGCCGATTCTGACGTGGTGTTTCTGACGTGCCACAACCCTCTTCTGCCAATCCAATCTCGGCATCCTGGGGGCTAAACTGTGTATCTTCAGGGCAAAGAAAACCAGCAGTACGGGTCCCAGCTGCCCTCCCACTTCCCCTCCAAGTTTCCACCCTCTTCCTACAAAATGTGACGGCTTTTCTAAGTTTCAACGCTGGAAATCTTCTTGCACTGCTGCTCTCCTGCTGTAACTTGCGCCGCAGACCATGCCTCCCACCCCTACCACGGCGCTTCTGGCGCTCACGCTCCTGCTGCCGCTGGCCAGCTGCCAAACAGCTCCAAGTGAGACGCGCAGGCATCGTACCAGCGCATCCGAGGGCATTCGTGGATTCAGCAGCTGCCCCCGAAGGCGGCAGCTGCGCCGGCAAGGGTGCCCGCTTCAGCCGGCTTCTGGTGTCCACTTGACCATGGGTCCCCTGCACTGCAGCATCAGTCTGGAGCTATTACACCAGGATGCCTGGCAGCTTCCTGCTGGCAGGCGACCTGCTGTCAAACGGCGCCACCACCACCATGGATGAGGAGTGCGCGGCCGCCTGCCTCCAGCTGGGCACAGACAAGTGCCAGGCCTGGTCCTGGTGCGGGGCCTTCTTCACAGACGGGTGGGTGCCGCTGCCATCATGCCCGCCTGCCCACTGCCGCTGGAGCGCTGCCGAGATGCATGCCACCTGAGCAAGAACATATTTTCCGTCTTGCATGTGTCGGCAGCTGTCGCCCAGGCCGTTCAGCCACGCCGCATGCCCCTCCCTGGCCTTCCCCCTCGCAGGTGCGAGGTGCTGAACTATTCCAACGCCACCGGCGACGCCACGTCCGCCCTACTGCCGCCCGGCGCGTGCCTGCTGTCGGGCGGCGAGGCGACTGACCAGCTGTCCACCAGCTCGATGTTTGGGGACTCCCTGATGTGGTCTTCGGGGTACTATGACCCTTCGCTGGCGGCAGGCACAGCCCAAGGAGCGTCGCAGACGCCGCCCAGCGCGGCTTCCACGCACGACAGTGCAGTGAGCAGCAGTAGCAGATGATGTGTGCTGCTGCGTCGCTGCGTGCTGCCCACGTAATCTGCCGCTCTGTTGGCAGGACTCCCGGCAGCGTGCCTGGAACTGTGCTGGCTTTGTCACACTGCACCCTTGGTCATGCCATGCCGCCTGTTGCTCAGGCACCCATCTGGGCGCGCTGGGCGTACATTGCTGGCACGCTCCACGTGGGGCCCAACATTGTGGGGGCCGCCACGGCACTGACCCCCGAAGAGTGTGCCGAGATGTGCGAGGCGACGCCGCCTTGCAAGTGGTGGGCGCACTGCAGGGCAGACGCCGCTGGGTGAGTGGGCAGGCTGGGAGCTGGAGGTGCCTGCTCTGCTTCCCGCCCCCACCCCCCACCCTTTTCCACCGAAACACCCCCCTTGCCTGCCTGGACTGCAGGTGTGCTATGCCTCTGTTCCGCGGCACCGGCGTCGAGGACGCCACCTTTGAGCAGCTGGCCAATGGCACCTGTGTCCTCAGCCACGGCGCTCAAGATGGTGGTCCCGCTGGCGGCACCATCCTTGGCCGGATGGCCTATCGATACCAGGAGGGCTCCGCTGTGGCCTGGTCCAGCGGCTACCTCAATGCAAGCGCCTCCCCCGCCCCCACTCCCCCCACCGGCGGCGGCGATGCGTCGGTGCCCAGCGGTGGCAGCGGCACCTGCTCCATCCCGGGCTGGACAGACTGCGGCGGGGGGACGGGGTGCAGAGACCTGACGATCGACGGCGAGAACTGCGGCGCCTGCGGCAACCGATGCGGCTTTGGCGAGACTTGCAACTTCGGCTCCTGCGACATCAGGGTGCGCACCGGTGTTGGGCTGGTGTTGATGTTCAAGTTGATGCTGCTCTTATCTCAGGAGAGAAGAGGGAGAGCAGCGGCCACCACCCTGACATGCCTTGCCAGACACGCGTGCCAACTGTCTCTGCCCTTGCTGCAGTGCGGCCCTGACCCAAACCGCCAGTACTGCGGGACAGGCGGCTGTGTGGACCTGACTTCAGACGCAATGCATTGCGGCGTGTGCGCGTTTGCATGCATGGGCGGCCAGCAGTGCGTGTACGGGCGCTGCCAGGATGGCTTCTTTTGATTGTTTCAGCATGACAATGCGACATGAAACGTAGGGTTAGCGTGACACAAGCAGTGCGCAGGAACCGGAGGCAGAGTGGCTGATTGATGAAATGGGATGTGTGTTAAGGAGCCTCAGAGTCAAAAGCCCGAGGCCGCCGCCTCTGCGGCCGCCTCCTGTGCCAGCTGGCTGCTGCCATCAGCAGCGCTGCTCCTTCTGCTGCCATCACCCCCGCCCTCCCGCGGCTGCCGCTTCCGCACGTGCTGCAGCAGCAGGAGCAGCGCCGAGGGTGTCACGCCAGGGATGCGCTGGGCTGCTGCCAGGCTGGTGGGCCGCGCAGCTGTCAGCTTCTCCCTGTCCTCTGCCGACAGCTGCAGGGCGGAGTAGTCCAGCCATTCTGGAATGAGCAGCGCCTCGTCCCGCCGAAGCTCTGCCACCTCAGCCTCCATCTTCTCGAGGTAGGGGCTGCACAAAGGAGTGAGAATGGGTAACCTCATCCCAGCAGACCAGGTTTGAACAGGCCCGGCAGCGATGGCGATGGCTTTGCCACCAGACAGCCGCTGACAGGCACGGCAGCTTTCCACATAGGCTGGGAGCAGCTCACCGGTAGTAGCAGTTGGACACCGCCGTGTCCACTGCGCTAGGGGGTGCAGCCGCGCTGAGGCTGCCAACAGCACTGGTGCTGCCAACATCACTGCTGCTGCTGCTGCTGCTGGCCTTGCTGCCATCCAAGCTGCTGCCTGCAGACACCGCGCTCACCGCCGCCGCCGCCGCCAGCTCCTGCAGCTGCTGCCACCCTGGCACCTGCTCTGCCGCTGCAGCGGCCGCCAGCTGGCTCAGTGTGATGCCCGGGCGAGTCAGCATCTGAGCTGCGCTGATGTAGTCGCCGTCTTGCGACACGTGCAAGCCCCGGCGGGCCCATGCTGAGCTGGACAGCTGGATGGCATCCAGGAGCTGCTCCGCATCTTCCACCTGCTGCCTTCGCTGCTGGAAGGACGCCGCACGCTCCGCGCCCACCAGCCCCAGCTGCAGGAGCAGGCAGCGGCAGGCGGCAGGGGCGTTGTCGGGACACACGCGCAACATTCCCAGAACCCAGACAAGACTGCCAGCCACATCAGGCCAGCTGCTATGCCACAAGGCCGGAGCTGATGGCACTGCCGCTGCCGCTGCCCTCCCTGCCCCGCCCTACAAGCACACACAACAAGCGCACCTGCAACCCCGCCTCGGTGAGCCGCAGGTCGGCATTGTCTGGACGCAGGCGCAGCCGGAACTCGGCGCGTGCGCTGAGCATGCGGTACGGCTCGCTGGTACCGCGCCCCACCAGATCATCCACCAGCACACCCAGGTACCCGTCAGCGCGGGACAGCAGGAGCGGGTCGCCTGCATGAGAGGTGGGTGGCGCAGGGGGTAGCGGGTCAGGCTTCCGCACCCCGCGGCGTCGCTGCCCCGACAGCAGCACATGCTGGCTGCGACAGAGATGGCGTCCCAGGCTGGCTGGCAGGCAAATGCCTGCCGTTTGATCATCGGGCGACCCAGGGCGTGCGATGCCCTTTCCAGTCGCCTGCGCCAGCGCCTGCCACACGCCCACCTGGCGCCGCCGCGTTCGCGCCCGCCACCAGCCCCTGCGCCGCAGCCTCCTCGTATCCCGTCGTGCCGTTGATCTGCCCCGCCAGGTACAGCCCCCGCAGGCGCCGCGTTTCCAGGGTGGGGGCCAGCTCTCGGGGGTCCACGTAATCATACTCGACAGCATACGCCGGCGCCAGCATGCGCGCAGCGCCCAGGCCTGCATGGCAGGTAGACGAAGGGGCCCAGCTTGCTGGCTGGCTGTCCAGGTCACGGCATGGCCGCGTCGGCTGGCCGGCTGCAGGGCTGGGGAGGCCGGGGACACACACACACACACACACACACTGTCACCGTCGCCTGGATCCCCGCACCAGGTGGCAAGGCTCACCGGGTATGGTCTGCAGTAGGCGCAGCTGGTCCTCCGGCTCCATGCTGTTGCTGATGCCGTTGGGGTACACCACATCCGTGCCCAGGCCCTCGGGCTCCAGCCACACGTGGTGCGTGCGCCCGGGGAAGCGCCTGCGGCAGGCAGGGGTGGTCGGCGCGGCGGTGGGCCGCCGTATGTTGACACGCCGCAGCGAGGCTTGCTGCACTGCTGCAGTACGGCGGCAGCCAGGCGCGTGCTGCGCGTTGTGTGGTTGCCCGGCCCATCTCAGCAGACCAGCTGTGCAAAACATTGAACGCAACCCCCATCCCCACCACACCCAACCCACCCATCACATCACATCAGCTGCCCCTGACCCCTCACCTGAACTTGGTTTCCAGGGAGGGGCAGTAGCGCGGCTCCACACACCCGCCCTGTGCCACCGTCATGCCGCTGTCAAACACAGCGCCGCGCCCTGGAGGGCACAGGGGTGGCAGGGAGCCAGGTCCGTGGATGCCCTCGGCCCTCTGCTGATACAGACGAACCAGCAGGCGCCTGGCGCCCTGCACCACCACCACCACACATACACATGCGCGCGCGCGCGCACACACACATATCAACTCTCTCCGCTCACCTGAAGCCATGCAGTCCAGCACCAGTGCCTCTGAGGCAGCAGTGGTGCGGGTGCCAAAGCAGGACACCTGGCCCGCCGGCGGGCTCCACCCCGGCTGCTGCAGGTGCAGGAAGGAGAAGGGCGTGGGGGCACCGTCGCCCGGCTGCTCCTCACACACGCTCCAGTCAATGGTGCGGCCTGCAGGCAGCAGGGCATGGCAGGATGAGCTAGGAGGGGCACTACGCCCCCTGGGTTCGCGGCGAGGGACGGCACGTGTCACACGGCCATCTGGTGCCGCTGAAGTGCTGCACAACCAGCCCACAGCTGCATAACCTGGATCCTGGCTCCCAGCCCCTCCCCAGGACCAACTCACCGTCCAGGCGGGGCGGCGTGCCGGTCTTGAGGCGCCCCAGGGCGAAGCCGAGGTCGGCGAAGCGGCGTGCCAGGCGTGTGGCGGCTCCCGCCGCCGTCACATCCGCCTCGTCCGTCAGCTCCGCCTCCCTCGCCGCCTCGGGCCTGGAAGCCTCGCGGGCGGAGGTCAGGCTGGCGATGCGGCCCGCCGGGCGGCTGTGGCTGCCCACGTGGATGACGCCCCGCAGAAAGGTGCCTGTAGTGACCACCACGGAGCGGCACAGGATGCGCTCGCCGCTGGCCAGCACCACGCCTGCCACCACCGGCCCCGGGCCGCCACCGCTGGGGCGCGGCTCTACCAGCAGGTCCACCACTGCACCGTCGTGGATGGCCAGCCCCGGCACGCCGCCCAGCATGCGCTGCACGGCCCACTTGTACAAGACGCGATCCATCTGGGCACGGGGACCCCGCACAGCGGGCCCCTTGGACGCATTCAGCATGCGGAACTGGATGCCCGCCGCATCCGCCGCTCGCGCCTGCACCAAAGAGGGGCAGTAGCGGCGGGGCGTTGGGCGGCGCCGCAACGGCGTCTGCCGCGGCTGCTCCCCGGCCCCTGCCCGTGCCCGCTCACCATGAGGCCGTCCAAGGCGTCCACCTCTCGCACAAGCGTGCCCTTGGCCACGCCGCCGATGCTGGGGTTGCAGCTCATCTCACCGATGCTGGCGGAGGGCGAGGGCGTGACGAGCAGCGTGGCGGCGCCCCGCCTGGCGGCGGCCGCGGCCGCCTCGCAGCCGGCATGACCGCCGCCCACTACCACCACGTCGCAGCTCAGCCAGCCTTGGGCCACGCTGCTGAGGCCCCTGCGCCACATGGAGCGAGCAACTAGCAACACATGCAACCCAAAGCCCTCAAGCAGCGCTGGAAGCTGTTGGTATGCAGCTGAATTGCGCAGACACGCATCCTGGTGAAGAATATGTACAGTGCCAACTGTCCTGCCTAGTTGGCAGGAGGGAAGGGGGCTCCCTTCCCTCCTCCCCCTTCCCTCCTCTGGAGCCCTATCTCGTACTCGCTCCTTGCCCATTTCGATTTCATTAATTTCCAGGCATGTGTCGGCACGTCCCTTGCACAGCTGCGGATGTAGGCCAAAGCCGCACTACAGCACCGCTGCTGCCCTCCCAGCTACCCTCCTTGGTCCTGCGTTGCCCTCTGGGCCGCACAGGAACAATAGAAGACAGGGCGATGGAAGCCAAACACCGGCGCCCGACCAGCAGTATATGCGCCGTTTCCCCTGGTTGCCTCCGGCGAATGCTGCCTGACACTAGCTGTCGAAGTCTGGGCGCCAGCCCACCAAATGCAAGTGTTGATAATACACAACATCCAGATTGTTGCATCCAAAGAATTGACAATGAACCACTTCTTCTTTCCCGCACAGAGGCGGTCTCCAATGTACGACTGGCATGGCCATGCTGGGTGCGCTGCACTCTGCATCACACCTGGGCCCGAGTTGCACCCCAGGCGCGCAGCCAGCCCCCCAACCAATCCCTCTCCTGCGCAGGCGGGGAGGCCAGCTCGCCTGCCAGCACCAGCAGCTGCGCTTGGGCAGGAGCGGGGCAGGCAAGGGGCAGGCAAGGGGAGGGATCAGGCTCTGCAGCAGTGTTGGACGGCGCTTGTGGCGAGCAGCGCCATCGAGCGGCCAGGCCACCGGCGAAGCACGCACCTCATCCAGTGCACTGATCATGGAAGACATCCAGCCACAAAACGCCAGGTCAGTCACTTGGCAGGGCACTCCAGCCAGCTGAGCCAGCAGCTGCGGCCGCTGCTCTCGGAAGTGGGCAACACAAGCCACCCGCGCATCAATGGCGGCGGTCAGTGAGGCCGCCACGCGTTCCCGTAGCGCCGTCACCTGTGCCGGGAGCCTCCCCAGTTCCAAATTGTCTGCACACGGGAGCACAGGGTGACGGGAGGTGGGCTGGGGCGCATGGCGGAAGGCGTTGTGGGAGCAAGACAGTGTAATGAGCGGACCGGTGAGGTACAAAGGAGGTGCTGGTGGAAGAAGTGGTGGGCAGCTTGCTTTGGGCAGGCAGCGGCTGCGGCGGCAGCCAGCACACGCACCTGCGCAGGCCTCCACCAGCTCGCGCTGCGCCTGCAGCATCTGACGCACGACGGCCGTCATGCCCTGATCCGCGGCCATGGTTTTGAAGTAGGCCCCGGCGATGACAGAGGTGGCGGCTGGCTGCGCGGCGCCGCCGGCGGGCCTGGCGTGTGCCGGCTGCCAGGCTACCTGCGCCAGCGTGCTGATGGAGGCCCACGCGCAGCCTGCCAGCACTTTGAGCCGGGGCTGCATGAGCGACACCACCGGCGGTGTGTGCAGCACCAGCCAAGCCAGCGGCTGCAGGCGACGGTCGACGGAGGAGGAGCGCAGCTTGGCGCCAACGCCTGCGATGCGCTCCGCCTCCCGCTGCAAGTTGGCCAGGAGAGGGCTGAGGTCGGGGGCGCGGCCCTCTTGTGCAGCTGCCATCACCTCCTCATATTGCCTGCACCCGCCAGGTTGGGGGGTTGGGGGGTTGGGGGGTTGGGGGAGAGGAAAACCAGCTTGAGAACTTGCGTGCGCACAGCTCGCAGCAGCGCTGTCTGCCGCTGCCACTGCTGCGACCCGCTGTGCCGCACATCTCCTACGCATCTCCATTGCATCCTCCAGTTCCCACACAATCCCCCGCTGTGCCACACCATACCCGGATAGGCTGCCATATGAGGAGCGCAGTATGTCTGCCTGTGTGAGCAGCATGTCATTGCTGGCATAGTTTGGGAGCACCAGGGCTGTGAACGCCGTGGCCCACAGGGCCCCAAGAGCCGTGGGCACGGCCTGCAGCAGGGCAAGGGGCAGGTGGGCAAGCTGGCGGCACGGCCGCTGCATGCTTGTCGCCCGGGAAAAGATGTTCAGGGAGCACTGCACGCATTCGAGTGCACATCTTGGGAGGGGCTGCACATTGCGGTGCCTTGCCTTTCCAGCGAAGCTTTGCCATGTGGAGTGCGCCTCACAACAGCCCAAGTAGGCGCACAGAACCAGCCCCACGATTGTATAGGCGATCATGCACAGGGTGAACCTGCGCCGTTGGGTGTGTGGGGGGAGTGGGTAAGGTGGGGTCATGGGTAAGCTCCTCGACCCATGGGAGATCCATGCAGAGATGAGAAGACGCAGGGGCACTCTGCAGGCAGCCAGCTGCGCTCGCTGACCACTTGCCCTGCCCAGCGCGACTCTCCAGCACAACCCAACCCTGCACGATGCTCGCCTGAACTCTGCCACCACCGCAGGCAGGCTGAAGAAGGCGAACAGGAGCATCACAATGGCTGTGGTGTAATAGGGGCTGTTCATGAGGGCCCCGTTGGAAGAGGCAGCCAGGCCCAGCAGACCGCCCACGCCGATGCCAACGGTGCGCATAAAACCCTTGGCCACAGAGCCCTCCACCTGCGCCAGAGTTTCGGTGGCATGTGCAAGTGATGTTGGCGAGGATGTGGGGGTGCGGGGGTGGGCGGCAGCACCGCCTCTGGTCCGTGTTTCCATGCAGCACGGCAGCCGAATACAGGTGAGGCACACATTGGCCTCTGGCCTCAAGCTCACATTGGGGTAGGTACAGATTGTGGACGCCATCCAAAAATACATGGGCTGCAGCCAGCGGCGGACACTCGATTTAGTGTGGGCTGCTTACCTCTGGCAGGTCAAACCGCTGCAGGCTGCCTTCCAGTCGAGCTGCCACATGGCCAGGTAGCAAGTATGCCTGCTGCACCCTTCGTAGCCAGCCGGCCGCGCCCAGCCGCACCTGCCAATCTCCCAGGTAGCGGACCTGCCCTTCCAAACCCTCCCTGCGTGGGCCCTGCACGCATAGGAGGGGCGCAAAGCAGGGGATCGGTGCAACGAGCCACTCCGGCCACATCTGCATCACAGGGCACCCTGATGCGAGGGCTCGCACCCTGCCACATGCCATGCTGCAATCCATGATGCACTGCACCCGTGCTGCCCACCTTCCAGAGGAAGAGGATGCAGCCCATCATCGCCAGGCTGTTGCTGAGCCAGAACTTGAATGCAAACTGGGCGGTCGGATTGCGCAGCGCTGGCAGGGGAAAGGGAGGGGAAGGCGAGGAGGTGGGGGTGAGTGGGGTGAGGGTGGCCCAGTGGATGTGAGGCACCTGCACCACACCTTGTGCTGACCAACAAGCCCTGAGGCTGGAAGTCCAGCAGCGGCCTGCACGCTGTAGCCAGAGCACACCTGTGACCAGAGCAGCCTTGGAAGACAGCGCGGCAGGCACGCCTCTGCAGCCAGCGGCGATGCCTTTGGCAATTGTCATCCACGAGGCCAAAGAACTCATCATGACCAACAGGGTGACGGCATTGCTGGCGCAGGGGCTGCTCTGCAGGGTATGCGCCAGGCTGGGTTGTTGCTGCTGAGGCGGGTCTCGGATGGCCGCACCTCCCTCCCCCTCTACGCCCTTTTCGACATCCACTTTGCCTGTGGCAGGCGAGGATGCCGCTGGTGCAGGGATGGCAAGCGCGGTTGCCGCAGCAGCCTCAAAGGCCTCCACCCGCACCAGCAGCTGCACCACTGTGGGCAGTAGGAACAGCACAGCTCGGCTCTGCAATGGGAAAGCCAAGAAGGGGCAGGGGGTTGCGGCTCAACATGCCCACGTGGTTGGTTGCTGAGCAAGCAGGGCAGGGGCAGGAGGCATTGCATCCCAGCCGCAGGGCAGCCGTCAGATGGTGGAGCTGACAGCAGACATCAGCAGGCGCGAACAGCTTGCCTTCTGCACGTCAACTTCCAGCGCGAAATCGAGGCCAGAGGCCTGCCTGCCCTCATTGTATGCATCAGCCACTGCTGCTGCAGTGGCTGCCAAGTCAGCGCGGAGCGCCAACCAGCGCGACGCGTCCATCGGGCGCCAGTGCACAGCGGGCCCTGCAGCAGCACAGGTCTAGTCGCGTCAGCCGCCACCACATCAGCGTGAGGATGCCGCCTGCCATTTTGTCAACAATGCCCTCCACTGTGTCTCCTTGATTGCGACTGAACATGCATGCCACACTTCTGCTCGCCTGATCTGCAATCTCACCAGAGCAGGCGCCAAGTGGTGGCATGTGCTCCAGCGCCTCGGCACAGCCTGCACAGCAGGCGGCCGCCGTTGCCAGCGCGCTGCAAACTGCGCTTGTTGCCTGCTCTTGCTCCTGGTAGCCCTGTGTGCCCTGCGCAGCGGCAAGCTCTTCCAGGCTCCAACGCTGGCAAGCTGCTCTCAGCGCAAAGATAGAGCCGCACAGCAGCTCCAACTCTTTCTTGAGCCAGCCGTAGGCTGCCAAGCTTGCCCCGGGCTGGGAGCACAGGCCCAGTAGCGGAGGTTCAAATGCTGCCTGCAGCGGCGGGGATTCTCATCTCGGGGTGGTACGATAGAGGGGGCAGAAATACGAAACGCCAGCCAGCACCAATTCCTCACCATGCCAAGAGACCGCTTCAACCTGGCCCACTGGGGCTGCATGGACGAGGGGTCGCCAGCACGAGCAGCAGCCACCCCGGTGGTGGCAGCAGGCGAGCCTGTCTTGCCATGGGAGCCCGTCCTGGGAGTGGCAGCTGGGCCGACCAGGTCAAGCAGGCGACGGCGGTATGCCTCCTGCTGCACGGCCACAGGGCCGCGCTGGTCCAGGGCGCCACCATTCAGTTTGACCCCATCGGCCTCCCCACTACGTTCCAGCAGGGAGCTTGCCAGCCTGCACGGTCACATCAGTGGCAGGTCAGGCTGAGCATGCCGGTCCGCCCTCTTTCCGGCACTACCTTTGCATCAGCCACAGCTGCCAGGTGCCTGGCAGCACCAGGAGATTCCAGCCGCTAGTTTAACACCACCAACATGCTTGCCTGGAGATTTGGGACCCGGCATCCAACAAAATGGCGCCAACGCTCTGTCGCACTTCGTCGTGCGTCGACTGAACATACACCAGGCACCCCGCAGCCAGGCAGCAGAGCGCCGAGGCCAGGCCGGCGTAAACGAAGCCAAGTACGACCTGCACCAGCCAGGACGCAATGGAAAGGGGTGGGCAGAGTTGGCGGGTGGCGGGGGTGGGGAACAGGGAGCGGGGGGGGGGGCGCGCACCAGCAACCGTGGTTGACAAGGTGATGTCAGCAACCACTACCTGACAGCCCACCACAGGGCAAGAGGCATGGCTCACCTCCTGCCAGAACAGGCGCAGCGTGAGGACCTGCGCCAGCACCCCGAAGACGACCACGTTCCCCGCCATGAGGGCGGTGATCTGCACGATCACTCCCTTAAAACCAGGCGCGTATGCGCGCGCCAGCGCCAGCGGCACGAGCAGGGCCGCCGGCAGCACGATGAGCAGCGCCCAAAAGGCGCTGGAAAAGGCGGCGCCCTCCGCGGCCTTCTCCAGGGCGGCCTTGACAGCCTCCAGCTGCACAGGGGCGAAGCATGGGTAGGCAGGACAGGCTGAGGGACAGCTGCAGCGGCAGGGTCTCCACAGGTTGGGGCAAAGGGAACCAGTGGGCTGGCAGGCCTTGGGCCGGGCCTGGGTCCGCCGCTCAGGTGAGCTCAGTGGTGGCTGGCTGGGCGGCTGGCAATGCATCCCCCGCTTGCCTGCTCCAGCAGCTGCGGCGGCAGCTCAGTCAGCATGTGCTGCGGAGCAGCCGTGCGCAGCTTGCTCTGTAGCTCAGCGATGGTGGCCGGAGGGTAGACCCGCTGCAGCTCCTTGGGCAGGTAGCTCATCAGCGGCTCCCCCTCGCCCCGCGCCAGGAACGCCAGGCTGACGACGGCGCCGCCCAGCACGGCGCCTGCCAGAGAGCAGCAGCAGAGCAGGGCGGCAGCAAAGATCCTGCTGCCGGCGCTACGGTCTTGGGACAGGAGGAGCAGGGCGGTGGCGGCCAGGATGGATGTCATGCAGGCTATCGGGAGTTTCAGGCCCGATACCGTGACGAAAAGGGCTGCAGGTGGGATGGGAACGATCGTGGAGCCACGATCAATGGCGGCGGGAGAAGCGCCAGCATTGATCTTGGAAGGTGGAGGCGCTATTCTGAAAGCCGGGCATGCACACACACATTCCACTGCTCCTTACCCGCAACAAAGATGCCCAGGGCATTTTGTATTGCCCACTGCAGGGGTCAGGTAGACCGGGAGAGAGGCATAAATCGGTGGCGGCGGCGCGTCACCAGTCGCCTGGCGGCAGCTCAGGAGCTGCCCCTCCTGCGGCCTGCTGTTTCCCCTGCACTGAACCTGCACCTCAGCTGGTTCGAGGCCGTCCCAAGAACTCACCGCTATGGGTTCCGACAATAGCGCCCGGCTCACGCCCTCAAGGAGGAGAGACATGCAGCGCTGTGGCGTGTTAAAGCCACACGATGACAGTGCTAGGGATGCAGATCTAGCCAGGCCTAGGAGCTACTTTTCACGGTAGCCTGGAGAAATAGCCATATGAGCGAAGCGAGGGTTTGGTAGAGTGACTGGGGGTTCGGCGAATAGGTAGGAGCGCATCCGCCGTGCCGAAAACAGTACCAGCACGCCTTTCCGATGGCAATTCCTGCTGCCACACGGAAAGCCGGACGTGACGTGGCGGGGTGCTCCTTCTGATGACGAAACATACATCCGAGGTCACATCGCAACAACCACAGCGATCTGATCAGTCCCGGAGTGCTTTCAAGCGGGGCAGTCTGCGCCCGGGCACCTTCCCAAGCCCAACCCGTGTCTGTCTGCGCTCAGCGTGGCTTCTGAGCCTCGCCGCAATGAGAACCTGAGTCGACGTGCGTCCTTGAAGCTCACCAAGGGAAGCTCACCACTGTGCTCCCAACCTGAGTGAGCCACTACAGGCGGCGGCTGGTCGGTGCCAGCGCGGCCCCTTCACCGCTGCGCGCTTGTCAGGGAGACAGGCATTCAGCCGCCATGTTCGAAGGATATGTGGTGTACTACCTCAACCAGTACCTTGGCAAGTATGTGGATGGCATCGACCAGAAGTCGCTCAGGTGCGCCGCGACCCGCCGCCTGCCAGTTTGCTCCGCCTGCGATCGCTTTGCAGATGGGCGGCCAGCCTCCTGCCTTGTATGTCTGCTGCCAGCACAGCCTGCGCCACGCCTCCCAAGCAAGGCAGAGCACATCATTTGATGTCATGTGTCGACCTCCCCTCTGTCAGACTACCGCCCAGGCCCTTGCCGCCTGCTGCACAGCCGTGAAGCTGCCTCTCAGGGCCTTGCCCCGCCTCCCGCCTCCACCTACTCGCCGCCGTGCAGGATCTCCATCTACAAGGGCGATGTGGTGCTGCGCAACCTGCAGCTGAAGCCCGATGCGCTGGCGGGCCTGGACCTGCCCGTGACGGTGCGGGCGGGGCTGCTGGGCTCCCTCACACTCAAGGTGCCCTGGAGCAGCCTGGGCACAGTGCCTGTGGAGGTGAAGATCGACCGCCTCTACCTGCTGGCATCCCCCAAGAGCGAGGAGGAGCGGGGCAAGGGCGTGAAGAGCGAGGTGGGTGCGGAGAGGCGTGGGCCGCCGGGATGGTGGCGGCGGTGTGGCACTGGGCAGGGCGCAGGGTGGGCCGGGGAAGCCAGCGACAGCGATGGGGTGCTGTGGGTGGGGAGGCTGCCGCCATCGCAATACCACGGTGGTGCACCGCCGCCTGTAAGGCCATCGTGCCCCGTCTTCTTGTCAAATGTTCCCCTGCGCTACCACCTGCCTTTTCTGCCTCCGCAGGATGCCCTTGAGCCTGCCTACCAGGCAGCCAAGAAGGCCAGGGTGGAGGCCCAGGAGGCTCGCTGGGTGCAGGAGATGGAGGCTATGGCGGAGCAGCAGGAGAAGATGAAGGGAGGGGTGGCGCCTGAGCAAGGTGGGCTCCCGTTGCCTCACTGCCCGCCTGCCTGCCTGTCAGCTGATTGGTAGCTTGTAATGCACACCTGGCAGCTGCGCTGCTGCTGTAGCTGTATCTCCCATCCTCCCGCCTTGCCCCACCCATTCCCTGCTGTGCCTGCTTCCAGGGGCAGGCGGCGGCGTGGGCGGCATGCTCAAGGCCGTCATCGACACGGTGATTGGCAACCTGCAGCTGTCCATCAGCAACGTGCACATAAGGTGGGGGCGTGGCTTGGAGCTGTGGGCGCAGGGGCAGGAATGTGTTTTGGGGCCAGTACCAACACAATCAGCCTTTCAACTTTGCCTGCCCACCTGGCCGTCAGCTGCCGCACGCCAACGCCGGGCCTTGTCCTCCTGCTCGTGCCAAATGGCCTTCCCCTCCTGCCCAACTACTGTGCCTCCTGCCATCCCCTCTTACCCACCCCTTCATCCACCTGCACCTGCTCGCCCACCTGCTCGCCCAGGTACGAGGACGCGTACACCAACCCGGGGCACCCCTTTGCCTGCGGCATCTCGTTGGACCGCATCAGCGGCTACACCGTTGACGAGGCGGGGCGGGAGGCCTTCGTCACCAACAACCCGCTGCAGATGCTGCGCAAGGTGTGCGGGGGTGTGGGAGCATTGGCTTATGGTGGCAGTGGCAGTGCTGGTCGATGGTGGGCATGAGGGCATGGGCATGAGCTGGGGCAGATGTGGCAGCGAGGCTAGAGGGCTGCTGTTTCGGAGCAGGTGCTCAGCCTGGCTCTCTCTCTGGTCACTGCTTGCTCCTGCTTATGTGCAGGCCCTGCTGCTGCGCCGCATGGCCCTGTACTTTGACACCGATGCCGAATTCTGGCTGCCAGAGGGCACCAGCTGGCGTGACATGGCGCCACATGAGTGGGACGAGTGGTTCCAGCCTGGCATCAGGTGGCTACTTGGCTGTTGCTGTTGCTTTGGGAGGGACCGTGCCTGGGCCGTGGCAGCATTGGTGCATGCCTGTGCCGCGCCTGCTCAGCCACGTTGCCAGCCATGGTGGCGCCTCGGCCTGGCTGACGGCGGCTCCCGACCCCCCGCTCTCGCTGCCTGCAGCGCCGAGCGCCAGGAGCGTGGCGGCACCGCTCGGCACCGGCAGTACGTCCTGCAGCCGGTGGACGGCCGTGCGCTCTACATGCGGCGCGGCGCCGGCGTGCAGCCCAAGGGTGGGTTGCAAGACGGGGTGTGGGTGTTGCTCGCCTGCTCGCGCTGCCTGCTCCGGCTTGTGTGCAGGTGGCTGAGCCCGGCAAAGCGCCTCGACCTGCCTGTCACCTACCTGCCACATCCCCTGGCCCGCAGAGGAGGAGCCCGTGCTGGAGATGGACTTTCAGCTGGATGTGGTGGCGGTGCGCCTTTCACGTGAGTGTGGGCACCCCCTGCCTTGAATGCCGTGGGGAAGGGCAAGGCAGCATTGTCTGCTGTGTATTCTTTGACTCAAATATGCGTCCTGCCCGGCTGCTGCTGTGGCCCTGCTTTTGATACTGCAGAGCCGCAGTACCAGAGCTACCAGCTGCTGCTGTCGGAGGTGTCGTCCTTCACCGCCAGGCTAAACCACAACGCGTACCGCCCTCTACTGCGCCCGGCGGGTACGCCCAGTGTCTCCTTTTCAGCGTCACAGCAGTGCTTGCTGCATGAGCTAGCGCAGGTATAGCTGCTGCTGCACTTTATGACTCGCTGACTGCTGCCCGATCCTCTGCCTGCTGCAGCCGGCGAGCCCGCCCGCATCTGGTGGCGGTATGCGGTCAAGGCGGTGCAGCAGCAGGTGGCGGCACGCAAGCTGACCTGGGGGCAGGCCATTACGGTGAGGTAGATGATGGAGGGCTGGTGGCAAGGTTGCTGTGTGTGTGTGTTTGACGCTCTGGTGCGCCTCGGCTGGAGGAGCCGCGAGCACTTGGCACTGAGCCTTGCGCTCTGTGCCCCTGCCCTGCGCCTTCACCAGCCGGCACATCCCCTCACCCTCCCCTCCTGCTGGTCCCTGCTCCTCTGTGCAGTTTGCCCAGATGCGTGTGGAGTATGTGCCCGCGTATGCCGACTACCTGCGCTCCAAGGAGGTGCGGGCGCGGGAGGAGCTGCGCCCGCCACGCCTGCCCCAGACGGTACAAGACATGGACCTGGCGCTGCCCGAGCAGACCGTGCTCATGTTCAGGTGCGTGTGTGTGTGCGCGTGTGGACAGCCGTGATGTTGTCTGTTGTGTCAAGGGTGCGTGTTGTGTGTGGATGGGCAGCTGGGAGTGTGGATCTGTAGGTGAGATCGGTTGTGTTCATTGAGCTGGCTGGGCCGTGCTCTGCAGGCGCATGGCGCATGCCAAGGTGCAGCGCGAGAAGCGGCGGCAGGCGGCCAAGGAGGCAGCAGAGGGCCAGGCCAAGGCGGCCTCAGGATGGCTGGGATGGCTGCGTGGCGGCGCTGCTGCCGGCACGGAGGCCAAGCCGGGGGGTGCGGCGGGCGCCGGCCAGGTGCGCTCTGGCCACCACCAGTGCTCGGGGCCTGGCCTGCAGCTGATGCACCAGTGAATCTAGTCCCTGGGGAGCAGCCTGCAGTTCCCACGTGGCCTGCTGGCATTCATGATTGCCTTGCGTGTGCCTGTGCTGCGTGCGCTGCAGGGCGAGGAGGAGGCCCCTGAGCTCACAGCCGAGGAATACAATTGCCTGGTTGAGCTTGTGTCGGAGCAAGAGCATGTGCTGACGTAGGCTCACCCCGCGGTCACCGTGCCTCCTGCTGCGCCTGCTGGGCGCTGCTGGCCGTGAAACCGGCACTGCTGCCGGCGGGAAGCACCGCTCCGCGCCTTGACCCTCCCATGTCCTTTGCCCTGCCTTCCCCCGCAGGCTGGGAAATGAGACTCCCTACACGCTGCTGACCCGCATCGGCGCACGAGTGAGCTCCGCCTCGGCGCTGCTGGTGGGCGCCGATGGCACGCGTGTGCTCAGGGGCGGACTGGTAAGCGTGCCGGGTGGCCTGCCTGCCCTCCTGCCTGCTCACCTACCCACCTGCCGCATGCCTCCTTATGCAGCCAGGCAGCTCACCTGCCCTGCACTGCCCTGTTGCCTGCCTGCCGACCTGCCTCCTTCGCTGCCTGGGCCTGCCCCGTGTGTCCATGCAGGAGGGCATACAGCTGACCCTCAACAAGTATCCCGAGACTGTCAAGCTCGACCTGGGCGTGGCAGCCATGGGCGTGGAATCACCTGAGGGCGCACTCATCCGCACCGGCCTGCAGCTGCACCGCCTGCGCTCCGCCACAGACCTCTCAGGTGCGGTGGCAGCAGCCTGGCGGGACATGTCAGTGAGGCAGGGCCACGGCAGAGCAAGAACAGAGCGGGGCGGGACACACTATCGAGCATCGCAGTGCTGACGTCCTGTATAGCCGGAGCCCTGAGTGGCATGGATGGGTGTCTGTGTCCTGGCCGACGGGAGCAACAGCTGCCTGTGACCCTGTTGCCTTCCCGTCGTGTGCGCAGATGAGATGGAGGGGGCGGGAGAGGCGGGGGACCAGCGGGCGCTGGCGGTGTGCTTTGTGCAGAAGCCGCAGGACGGCAGCGCCGACGCTCTGCTGGATGTGGTGCTGACGCCCAGCTATGTCTACTACTCAGGTGGGTGGGGCGTTGTTGTTTGTGCTTATGTATTGCGCGCATGTGTGTGTATGTGTGTGCGTGTGTGTGGTGCTGTGGGTTTTGGTGGTAGTTGGTGTGGACGATGGCTGCATGCGTATCAGGTTGTGGTGGGTGGTGACGCCAAACCGTCTAATTCTAGCAGCTCACTTCCACCTGCTGCCTGCCTGCCTGCCCCCGTCCGTGCTCCTTGGCGCTGCTTGCAGCCTCAGTCATTGACAGGGTGGTCAGCTTCTTCAAGACCCCGGGGCAGCTGGACTTTAGCAACCTCAGCGCCCAGGCCACCACCCAGGTACGCTGGCAGACGCTGGTACTGGCAGACAACTGGGCAGGGGGTCTTGCAACAACTTCTGGAGCAGCCATGCCAGCTGCAGCCCCGGTCCTGCCCCTCCCTCCCGCTCTCCCACCTCTCCCCCACGCGCATCCGCCCCTAGGCCCCTCTCGCCCGCCCTCACCACCTCGCCCCTGCACCTCGCCCCGCAGCTGGAGCGCGCGCGGCGGCTGGCGGCCCAGTACGCTGCGGCGGCGCTGCAGAGCCGGCCGCAGCTCAAGATGCACATGGTGCTGGATGCCCCTAAGGTTGCCATCCCCGCCGCCGATGCCAAGGGGCGCGCCACGCTGGCTCTCGACTTTGGCCGCTTCATCGTCGAGTCGGGTGGGTGGCGCTGGCGAGGAGTTGGGCCAGGGCCAGGGCGTGTGTGGATGGTGGGTGGGCGTGAGGAGGATGAGGGCACTGGCGTGGGTGGGTAGCCGGCTCGCTTACAGGGCCAGTTCTTGTGCACTCCCTCCCTTGCCACGCCCCTCCTGGCACTCACCTCCTTGCCTGGCTCCCCCTTGCGGCCGCTCCCCTCAGACCTGGAGACTCACAGCAAGATGGGCGCCGAGGAGGCGGCACTGTACTGGTGCATGCGCCTCAGCGTCAGCGACGTAGCAGCCTACGTGTCGGACGGAGATTTCGACTGGCAGCGCAGGGA